TTTTTTCCACATATTAATAAGTCGTCTACGAATAGAATTAAATATATAACATCATCGCTCTCATACTTCATATACAGACAATAATCACTCTTACTTCTTTGAAATCCTAATTTTTTCATATATTCGTGGAAACATTCATACCAAGTTCTTGAACTTTCATGCAATCCATATAACGTTTTTGATAATTTACATACTTTCCCGCTTTTATCGTCATGACCTATAGGTTGTTTTACAAATACTTCCGATTTTATAGTTTCGTTTAGGAATATTATAGTTCCGTTTAGGAATACTGTTTCTACATCCATTTGCATAATCGTCAAACCATATTGACAACAATAAGATAGTAATAACTTCAACGTTTGCATTTTTGCCACTGGAGAGTATAAATCTTCCAGTACTTCATTTTGTTGAAAGCCTCGAACGACTAGTCGTGCTTTCTTACGATTATCAGATTTATTCGTATATACCCATTTCAAGTCTAATACTTTTTTGTCTTTTGGTTTCTCTACTAGTTGCCAGGTCTTATTTTTGATTAAACTATTCATTTCTCAATCCATTGCTTCCTTCATTTCTCGATCCATTGCTTCTTTCCATGAACCGCTGTCATCTCCACTTAAAGCTTCTTCATAGGTTTGAGGACTGTCTGCGCTAACTACATTCACATAAATGAAATATGAGCTCGTTTGGCCATATCTTTGAGGTTTCTTTCTTCCCTGTCCTGACCTTCTCAAATTATTTTCTATGTTCTCAAGTTTTCTTTCTGATTTGTTACTTAACTTTCTCTCCGCTTTTATTGCAACCTGCTTGACCTTTTCGTCATTTATTTCATTTTCATGAATTTCGTTTGAATCCGAATGTTCGTCAAAATCCTTTTCTGTTTCATTGTCTGATTCATCTTCTCCTTGAAATTCGTCTAAATTATCATCTTCATCTATAAATTCTACGTGCCTTGCAATTATAATTTTATTATTAACTAGGATCCTATATCCAATGTTTTCATAACCTACAAGTATCCCAGTGTCTGCTATTTTGTCCCATTTCGATTTCTTTTAATTTCAGGTATTCTTACGAAAACTCTACTTTCGTACAATCTTAAATTATTTATATTCGGTTTCCTTTTAAAAAATATTTCAAACGGTGTTTTATTTTCATACGTGTGCGTAATGGTTCTATTTTTTAATGGCGCTGCAGCTCTAATTATTTCCGGCCAATATTTAATATTCAGCTTTGAATCATGTAATAAGCATCTAGCGGAATTCATAATTGTTCTATTGTAGCGCTCAGCTGTTCCATTTAATTCGTGAACATAAGGTGGGCATGGTTCCACGACAATTTCCTTTGCCCTAGTTAGATTGTACATGTTTTTGTTCATATATTCTTTTCCATTATCGCATCTTAATCTCTTTATCTTCTTACCAGTAAGATTTTCAACTTTGTTTGTATAATCAAGGAAACAAATGTAAACTTCATCTTTTGATTTGAAAGTATAAATCAATGCGCACTTACTGTAATCGTCTATAAATGTTAAGAAATATTTAGATCCATCAAACCCGGTATTTTTATGAGGTCCATTTAAATCGGTATGTACTAATTCTAAAATCTCGCGTGCTCTACTACGGTTATTTTGGAACGGTAAATTGTGCATTTTATTTTGGATACGTGTGCCACATTTTAATTGTACTTACTCAAAATTTTCTGGCATTCCCTCAACTAATTTTCTTTTTACACATTCTATCTAAATAATTAAAATTTACATGCCCTAAGATCCTGTGGAATTTTTCCTTATTTGTCATTTTTCCTACATTTTTAGCGTGCGACTCTTACCTTTCAATGTGACTACTTATTTTATATAAACCATGATCTTTGAATGCGATCATGCCCATGAAAGAGATAGCCCATGTGAGCTATCTTCAATTTCTCAATGACGCATGTAACGTTTTTCGTCTGTAACGTATAGTATCAAAACATTATGAGCTCAGGATATGCGGTTTGTTGAAAATAATTAAAAATATTATGAGATTTAGTGTGTAACAAAAAAAAAGAATGAGTACACCCCCCTTTATTTTCTATTACT